AGCACAGATCATACTTTAACAGATATGCTTTACTTTCTATCAGTCACACTATAATCAGAGTCAAACAATTTCACAGAAACATAACATGTCAGAGGAGTCCATACAGCATTTAAATGCATAAACACTAATTTTTGGGTCACATCATTTTGCAAGATAAAAATCCTAAAGGAAAAACACAGAGCATGCATCAAAAATTCTTTAGGCAAGTCCTCAACTGTAGAATTTTAAGGATTTTAGTAAAGATACCACAATCTTTCAAAATAAGAAACAAAATCCAGTTCCATAGTATTTTGTCTATAAAAATGATGCATTTTTCAGAGTAGCCACTTCTATGTAGAACTTACAAATCACAGTGTTATCTATTAAAACAACCCATGCTATTGAAATTCAGTTTCCTTCCAGTAATCCCATTTCTCTTGTCTTTTCACTTCTGAGTAATAGGAAATGAGTTCTGATCCATTAACTCGCCTACTCTCTCCTGGAGGAAGTTAACCAATTCAGCTAATACAAAGACATGAGTTTCATCCAGGTCTTGTATGATGAACTTCTTTCCCAAAGCATTTGACTCATCCAAGTAGAGCAGAAACTGCTTCATTGCTGGGTCACTGTAGAGACAAACATACATCAGATCTCACCTCAGTGTAATAAAATACAGTTACAAACAAACAGAAGAAACATCATTTGAAGACACTTCCAAAGATTTCAGGGAAATGATTACTAATCTCAGGAGTCACTCACAAGTTAAATACAGTATATGAAGCTTTTGAAAAGGTTGTTTCTTTCACAGTACTAATTGCTTTGGTTACTTTAGAGACAAAAATAAACTGATAAAGTCTAATGACTAGAATCAGCTGCTTGATTAGCAGAGAAGTTCCCCTATGCTTCTGCTAAAGCATCTTAAAAAAAGCCACAAACAACTAAAAACCAAAAATCCAACCCTTAATAAGCTAAGTTTGAACTTACATTTTTGTCTTCAGCAATAGTACTATGAAAACATGTTTTCTTAAAGCATACTTTTGTTTAAGGATAACCAAAACCCAGGAGAACACAGTTCTTACTCAAAGTAGTATTGCATGGAAAAAAATTCAAGTATGAATTGTACGTTTATCACACCTTAACTGAACAGTCACGATGTCACCTCTTAAGTTAAATGTTTAGAAGAAAACATTTCGGAATTATGGAAATTACAGGTAACTCAAACAGTTGCATCACAGCAATTCCTTTTGTCCAGACTCTTAAGTTACTTAAGGAGAAATAAGCAGGTTTTGACACAAGGAAAGGCGGTAAGCGCTGTTACTCACCACTCAATCAGAACACCTTTCAGAACATTCACCATCTTCTCGGTTCTCTTACAAACACCGGGAGGGAGAGACCGCAAAAACAACCCCTTGCTTCGGGTCGCACACGCGAATGGAGCAAACCTGCAATCACAAAAAAAAAAAAACAAAACAAAAACAAACAACGCTTTGGTTAAATTCGTAAATCCTTTAGACAGCTCACATCCCCGAACCAGCAGCGCTGCTGGTCCCGCCCGCCTGGGACAGAGAGGCTCCCAAAAGCTCCTGTCCCTGCCTTGCCCCCGCCTCGCACCGCGCAACTCCTGCAGGCCTCAGCCCTCCACCTCCAACTCCGCCGCTCCCCAACGGCGGAAGCGCCTTTCTCGCGCACGCGCGGCGCTGCTCCCGGCAGCGCCCGCGGGTTGGCGTCACCGGGCGCGCGGACGTCGCCACCGGGGGCGGCGGCGGAGGCGGAAGGTGGGAGCTGCGCTGCTGGAGCGGGGTGGGGGCATGGCGGCCGGGACACGGGGACGGGCGAGACACGGGGGGCGTCTCGGGGTAGCAGGTTGTTTTGTTTCTGAACCCCTTCGGAAAGAGGCACAGAGCCACCCCCGTGTACGTGTTTCATCGTCTAAAATTGCGGTGGTGTTTGTTGTGTTTTTTTTTAAATAAGCCCCGGTGGCACAGTCCCGAGGCAGCGGCGCCCCTGCCCCACGGTAGGTTCGTGACAGGCAGGTGGGCACCGCACCCGCCGGTGCGGGAGGGGGCTCGCAACTGCCCGGACCAGCTGTGAAACAGGCTGCAAAATGGGTCCTTTCGCGTTATATTTGCGTATATCCCTAAGCATAAAATCCTCAGTATGAGCCGGCAATGTGCGCTCGCAGCCCAGAAAGCCAACCCAAATCCTGGGCTGCATCAAAAGGAGTGTGGCCAGCAGGGCGAGGGAAATGATTCATCCAGCTCTGGGGCCCCCAGCGTAAGAAGGACGTGGACCTGTTGGAGCCGGTCCAGAGGAGAGCTGCGAATTTGCTAAGAGTACTGGAGCACCTCCCCGTCAAGACAGGCTGAGAGAGCTGGGGCTGTTCAGCTTGGAGAAGAGAAGGTTCCATGGAGATCTCATAGCAGCCTTAAAGGATCTGAAGGGGCCTGCAGGGAAGCTGAAGAGGGGCTCTCCATCAGGAACTGTAGTGATAGGACAAGGAGTAATGGGTACAAAAGAAAAAGGAGAAATTTAGTTTAGATATTAGAAAGAAATTCTTTACTCTGAGGGTGGCGAGGCACTGCAACAGGTTGCCCAGGGAGGTTGTGGGTGCCCCAACCTTGGCAGTGTTCAAAGCCAGCTTGGAAAAGGCTTGAGCAACCTTTTGCTCAAGGTATGGGAGGTGTCCCTGCCCATGGCTGGGGAGTTGAGACTAGATGATCTTTAAGGTCCAATCGAAGGTCCCTATGATTCTATGTGCACTCTTGGACCTGAACAGAGGCTCCTGGCAGCAGAGAAATGGCACTCATTTTGGCTTCCTGTGTTTGCAGGTGCTTGTTTCAGATTCAAGTAATTGTGGCACCTGCTGTCACTGAACCACATGTTTATTGCAGTTGTAGACTCTGGCTAGGGAGAAGAATAAATGCGTGTTATTCTGTGAATAAAGGTAGTAAAGGAACTGCCATCAGACAGAGTTTGGAGGTGGGAGAGGTGTCTCTAGAGGACTGATTATCAGTGTCTTCAGAGTGTATCAGAGTGTTGTGTACTCTGCTGAAGTGCATGGATAAGCACAATGTTGAAATGACGGAAGTCAAAAAGTAGTCTCCTGGCAGTGATTGTGGGAGTGCTGGGGTGATACTGACGTTTTTCAAAAATGCCCCAAACACAAACAAGAGACAAGTGAAAAATCAAAACTTTTGGGGAAATGACAAAAGAGGAAGACACATTAATGGAAGGAAACAAACAGAAACCCCTTGTTTAGAGGAACTGGACACTGACAATAAAAGTGATATAAGCGTTTTTCTTGGTCTGTAGAGATTATCTTAAATTCAGGGAGCTTATCAGGCTCCCGTGTTTCAAGATCAGATTTACACAAGGGACATATTATCATTTTGAGTTGTGATTGTGGTGATATAGACCTAATTTGTTATTTAATAAGAATGACTATGTTTCCAACATAAGAATTTGATTGATATGGGAGAGATATTTTTGTGGTTTTAAATCCACTTAAACACATCAACTCAGTATTTCAGTTAGTATAAATGCATCAACGCAGACACTAAAATTTCACTTACAAAATACAAGTTTCATGTTACTGCTGCAGTGTATGCAAAAACTATTTTTTTGCATATTTTTGTGATTATTACATTTCATATTCTTTCTGGGTTTTTCTATAATGCTTGTGCTAAAAATACTACATGTTCTGTCAACTAAGACTTGAGAGGAGGTCTTTGTCAGAAGTAACATGCTGTTGTGGGTTGCCAAAGCCAGTTTTTAAATTTTCCTAATTTAGACAAGTTTTTCTTATATAAAGAAGGTGTAAAAGCAGTAACTTTTGCTAATACATAAAATGGTAAGTATGTGTGAGTGGTAGGAACAGGAATTGGTGCTTTTGTCTGGCCTAAATTGACTTGGTTAAGATACAGCCTTGATCAGTGGGCTAAAGTGCATAGTCCCTCATGAATAGTCCCACTTGTTAAAAGAGTCAAGGTAATATCTAGAAAGTGTATGGAAGTTACAGCAAATTTTTCGTAACTCATCTTCCTGCCTGTAAAACCAGGAAAATTGAGTGCCTTGCATCATATATATTAGAAGAATATTTCATATTTCTGAAGGACTTTCATACTACCTTCATGAAGACTGCTACTGTCAAGAAAATTCATGCTTGCATTGGCTTGCCTGTACATTCAGAACTTTGGTAGTTCTAATATATGTATGTTTGTGACTTCGAAAAAAAATCTAGTTTGATTTCAGCATTCAGTGAATATAGTGCAGTTATTCTGTTGGTATCCTGTGGCTTCATAATGTTGAATTGCTAAGGTCTTAATTTTAGAAGGAGTTCTCTTCTTCGTGACTCAGGCTAGATTCTCGTTCTTTTGCACGTTAGAACCTTTTCAGAATGAGATGCATGTTTTACCTGTAAGCATGCCCTGTGAGTTTCATGAGCCCATGAAGTCAGAGCATTTGAGAAACAGTACTAATTTTTAACAACCGTAGAGGTTTCACATTCTTTAAGTATTGGTTAGATTTGCCATTTAAAGCCAAAAATATGTAGTAGTTCCTTGAGCCTTGTTAATCAGAATGAAAGACTTACTTGCTAACACAATCAATTATAAACTTTAAAAGCAGTTGGTTGCTGAGTTGTATTAAAGTGCATGTCATATAGAGTAATGTCTTGATGGAGACATGAGTGTATCTGGTATTTTAGGGGGAGTTACTAAGAAGTAGAAAAGGAAATTTAGAAGCAGAGAAGTTAATTGGAAATACATACTAAAATCAACAGTAACACATAATTGATGAAAAACTGCTTTAAACTTTTCTTGTAATTGAAATGCAGCCCATTAAATTAAGGAGTTTATAGATTTTTTTAATTGGAGTGCTTTATAGGGAGTAAAAGGACACAAGTATGGTTTATTGTGACATTTGCTATCATGACCTTTTCTGTAAAAAGACAGGGAAAAACTGCTGCAGGTTTTCTGCTGTAATTCTCAAATCGATCATTACTTTTTTTTTTTAATACACAGAATGTCAGTGTCTGCTTACTGTATATTTTGCTACAGACAAATAGGAACCTCAGGTTCAGCCACAAAAACACACCTACCCTGGAATGATATCAGTAAGTACAGTTCATTATGTATTGATCTGAAGTGTTAATAAAAAAGAATGGTGTGATGTCATGCATTATTTAGAACTAAAGTTCTAGATCCCTGAAGACTTTGTGATTAAAAGCTCCTATTAACCTATAGTGTCTATCTGCGTCTGACCTTGCTTTGCATAATGATTTGTAAAATGACACCAGCAGATTATTTGGGAACAGATACAAACATGATGGGAGGTCCTCTCCTTACTAAATGTGGTCTCATTAAACTATCTTAAACTCCGCTTGTATCTGATTTTTTTGGTAACTCTAGAGCCATGAAATAATTACGTCAGTAAACGGGGAATAAAGTTTGTTTCTATTATTTATTTTATATTGTGATATTAATTCTGCAGTCTTTCTTGCTTAGTCTCTGCTTTCTTTGGTGCTTTCTGCATAGAATGACAATTCTTACAAAGTTTATTTCTGAGCATTAAAGATAGGATATTTCAATTTCTGCTCTACAGGAAGCATTGCATTTTTTTTCTTTTTCAAACTTCTCTGCCAGTTATTTCTTCAACATGTAGCTGCTGCCTCTTGTCTGCATGCCAAATTCTTATGGTCTCACAAAGACGGAAGCTGGTAGCAGTGGTTGTGGGGCAAATCTCCCAATTCATGCTGAGGAAAAGAAATTATTCATGATAGGTGAGATGGGTTCCATTGGGTTTGCTGCTACTGGTAATGATAAAGAGTTTCTCTGTGTAGAGGTCCTTATTCAGATAATCAGATCAATGTGGTAGGGACAAAATAGCTGAAATCTGACAGGAATCGTTAGACTTAAAAGGAAAATTGTTGCAAGTAGCATGTGTTTATTAGCTGTTTGCTTTATAAATTAGATTCAATGGAATTATTTTTAAAAATAATTTTCTTATGGAGACTCTGCAGGACTTTTCAAAGAATGTACGTACTCCTGTATGCAGTAATATACATTGAAGATATAGCTACACCATGTAAGAAAAAATTAACTTTTTAAAATAATTTAGAGTTCAAAATGATTGCTAGTGATACAGGCAGAGAAAGTTTACTGTTGATTCCTGCAGCTGAGCAATGAATACAATTGAGAGGTAGCAATACTCAAAGTAAATAGCACTGGCAGGATACATGTTTTATCGTCTTGCTTAGGAGAGCAGGAAATTCTAATCAAGTAATGTTTTCTCTGGTTGTAAATTTTGGTTGATGATTTCCTGAAAGGTGGAGAGCAATAGAAAAATTTTTAAAAGCTTATTCTTAGTGGCTGGTGTTCTTACTGTCCGATAATCAAATGGTAATTATGTTAATATTGAGGTGATGCACACAACTTTGTTTGACATGAGTTTTTCATTTTTTCAAGGAAAAATTGCAAAGGTAACTGGATCGCTTGTACTAGGGTAAGTTGTAACTGACAAGCATATAAGTAATTTTTGTATACAGTTAAAAGTTTAATTTGTGTATCTCTCAAAAAATATGACAATTTCAGGGATATTGTCCATTCCACCACAATAGACATGGTGGAATATGGCTTGGAAGCATAATTTCTGATAGTTATTACTTATTTCAAGTATTTTATAGCCTTTTCTCTACTTCGTGAAATGAAAATAATTTGCAGACTATTATGTATGTGGTAAAATCTGGATGATTTATAGCAAAGTGATTGTTAACTCTTTTTGCCATCGTATTTTTTTAGTTAATATTCATGTGCAGTTCTCTTTTCTTTAAAGAGGTTTTGTATTCATTACATATGAAGTCCTGTCCTTAAATAAGTTGCTGCAAATTGATACTCAAGCTCTACATCAAGAAAAACTTAAATCATATGTATACGTACGTACAGCTTCTCTAAATCCAAGTGAATATCAAGGTAAGGTGCATAATTGTTTGCGTTTTAAAAACAGAATTTTAAGAGAATAGAATGTTTCTGGAAGTCACCCTTATATAATAAGGAAAGTTATATTTCCTGAGATCTGTTATCAAAAATTGTCACCAAATTTATTTTAGTTGGTGACTGATTTTTTTTTTTAAGATTGTTCTTTCTATACATAGTTCTCTATATATGAGATAATTTTCTTTATATATGTCCATATGTATATGTGTGTGTGGTTTTTTTTATATATTTACAAGGGAACTGTCTTTCAGACTTCCAGTAATACAAAAATATTCTTGTAGGGATCACATACAAAGCCAGAAAAGAAATCCATAAAGCAGTGAGGAAAATTCTAGAAACTGAAGCTAAAATATTCCGGAGACCTTTTAATGGTAGGTATTGAAAGCATGAGTTTATCTATGATTATTGTTTTTTAATAGTGGGAAGTAGGGCTTTTAGAAAGTAAAATATTTTTTTCTCACAAACTTAACATGTTCTTTTCTGTTTGAAACAGTGATAATATAATTTATAATTTCTATATTAATGTGGATTATCGGTTGTCTATTTTCTATGTATTAAAACCATTCTTTTTCTTAAAGTAAACAAAAGCAATGGTTAAGAGGAGATTTGAGGGTTGTTTTGTTCCTGTTTCAGAAGAGATTTAAAGCTTAAGATACCAGGCCAATATTTGATACCCGTTTTGTGTACAAAAGGTATTTGTGGGATTAAATACTCTCAAAATCTCATTATAGAAAAGTATGTTATGTTTTCATCAGAATTGATAATATCAACTGAAAGCAGCACAGTCTATTTGTAAGTGTCACTGCTTTTTAGAGTAATTTACAATAAGAACTTCAATTTTTATAAGAAATTGTGTTCCTGAGGCATACTGTCTATTCTCATTTAACTGTCTGTTAAATAATTATAACAATATGCACCTCATATGAAATGTCATGTCATCCTATGAAATTAATTGTTCCAGGTCAGAGCCTCAAAAGTTGCTGGTAATTCTGGTTGATAAGTGCCAGCCAGGGGTTGTCACATATATTTGAAATATCAACTTGGTGCCACTAAAATGAATTAAACCCACCCTTTAAGGATCAACATTTTACTGATGTCATTCTGTGATTGTTTATTGTACTAATTTAATATTAAAACATTACACTCTAAATTACTGTTAATAACTAATATTCAGATATCAAAAGAAATGTATTTCCTTACTCAACAAATAGCAACGTGACTGTTAAAATGCTCATTATTAATAACTTGTGTTTCATTTGTTTCTTGTTAAAAGAACAATTCAGTACATTTGATGGAGAAGAGCATGAATGTGCCTTATGGCTTCTCTTAAAGAGAACTCAGTCAGAAGACAAAATGGTCCGACTGCAGGCTGTACAAGACCTGGCAAGCAACAGTCACTGGCGTGGTAATGTGTGCTGATGTAGCCTAATTCATCCCAGAAATGCAACAAAGTCTCAGTTAGCTGTTCCAAGTCTGCTGCCAATATGAAGAAAAGCTAGTAGCTGCAAGAAGCATAAATATGCTCTGAAATTTGGTCTAAAATGTGGGGGAGTTATTTACATTTCAAGTAGCTGTTGTTTCCTAACACCCTGACACAGAGTGTTTGTTCTGCAGTGCAGGCCTCTCTCTGTTTCCCACCAGAGAATTCCAACCATTGCTGTGTTGTGGGAGAGCAGTTCATGCTCCTTATTCCTAGGGTTTTCTGTTGGGACTGCTAACACAGTCACAAGTTGTGGCAGTGATTTTTTTATAAGGCTCTGTAGGAGTGAGTTTAAAGCCATGGTTAAGTTGATAAAAATTGGTTAGGAGCTGATATGTAATAATGACAAACCAGAGGTAAAGGACTTGTACGTGTAAACATTATTTGTAAGCCATTTTTTGTCCTAGTTATTATTTAGTAGTAATATGTTCACCCTGTTGCTCTAGCAAAAAATATCCTTGAAACCCCAAGGGGAGGTGTGTGTGTATGTGTATATGCGTGTCATTCTCCTCGCTCCATCACTAGGCCACATAAACTAGGTGACATTCTGTTCTGGATTCTCATTAGTCTGGTAATTCAGTCAGTTGAGGATCTCTCACTCTTCCAATGCAACTGCAAGCCATGGGATATATTTTGTTTCAAATTGGCTCTTTAAAAATCTCATTAATTTCCATGGGTAATTTACATCAACAAATTGTGTTTGAAAACATTTGAAAGCTAGGATGTACCAAAACTGAAGCTTTGTGTACTAGTTTAGTGTAACTGTCTGGTGTTTGTAGGAAAATACTGTCTGTTAGCGGGTGATCTCAGGATCTCAGAGCACAGGATATCCAGTATTAGGAATTTAGCTGCTTTTTGTTATCTCCCTTTCTCTGTAGTGCTCACTGTTGTAGTATTTGGACATTTCACAAACACTAATTGTTCTTGCCAACTGCCTTATGAGGGAAACAGGCTTTTTTTTAACCTGATACTTCAAAATGGAGTCCAAGAAAATTTAAGATTGAAAGTATGTGCTAACTTTTCACAGCTAGAACCAAAGTGTTCAGCTTGTCCAAAGCACAGCTCCAGTGAATTCAGTTTGCAGGTGTAAGTGATCTACACTGAAGAAAAAATATGGCCAATCTGTGACGGTGAAAATTATCTTTTAAATGGCTTGTCAGTTTTGTTCTAGAATTGAATAACAGTAACAAGAATAGAAGCAAATTTTTATTTTCTTTCCCTTCAGTTTGCCACTGAATTGCAGTATGTAATTTTCAATTTTTCCAGCTATAAAGTAAGTAGGTTTTGGAAAGGAAGAGTAGTTGCTCTTTAAGTCTGCTTTCCCTTCAGTAAAGAAACTGAAAGTCTCTCTTGTATTTTCATTAAGGAAGGGCTACTTAAAACTGTACTGTGCTATCAATTTTATTGAAACGTGACTTTTTGTAACATTTGAAATTTGGGGTGATCTCTCTGCAGTATTTGGATTTAAGGCTCTGGTTTTTAATAATGTATGCAGAAGAGTATGCATGATGCCTTTTAAATTTTAACTCAAGCTTGGGTTTGTAGTCCTTGTATTCCTTTCACAGTGGCAATACTGAACATTTGCTTTTGCTTGTGCTCAAATTATATCTGAGGACCTATGTCAAACTGGTCTATAATGAACAGTTAGTGCCCAAGTGTGTTTCAGTTCAGCGTAGTGCTGATCTAACATCTGCAGTTTTTAACTTCTGGAATTTGTGGTTACAAAATCAGAACTTGTTTAAGTAGATTGCAGAGGGGTGATTCTTTTTTCAAGTGTATTTACAAAGTAGATCAGAAACTTAATTTAAAACCAAGTGAAATGTTTAAGGTTAGTTTTAACCCTAACATTGAAATTCTCGTATGACAGATTATCAATATGGTACAGTTGCTCAAACCTGTGATCAAAGGACTGCTATAGGTTTGGCTCGATCCAAAGGTGTTGACCTTCGCTTTTTCCTGCCTCCACCACCATTGCCAAAAATAAAGACTGTAAGTAAATGAAAAGTAGGTATTAGATGATTCTTAGTTGCTTATTTGTTTTTACTGCTTTTGTCGTTATTGTTTGTTGTTTAGAGTTCTTCTAAAGTAACTAACTAGTAGTAAAATTAAGACTAAAATGTAAGATATGATATACCCTTGGGGTATATCTGCATTAGCGAATGGCATGATGGAAAGAAATAAGGTTGAACACATTGCTCAATTACTGTTCTTGAACTGTATATCCACAGTACATATTTACCAGCAGTGAAGTCTGAACCAGTTACCAGTATGATACACACACTGCTTGTCTGTGCCTAATGGGTAATGTGAAGAAGTCATCCTGGATTGCCTTATTGATCCTGACAGAATCCTACACATAGGTAGTGTTCCTGGAGGCCTTTGCATCCTCAGTGCTGGTGTGGTGCTCTGCTCTAGACCCACCTCTTCATTGCCAGGTTTTGGGTGTCAACAAATCTTTATTGGATAAATTTGGCCTTGGTTTTTCTTTCTAAGGTTATTTTTAAGGGTGTGTATATATATATTATATACATGATGGTCAGAGCAGTCATGCCATTATCAGCTTCTTCAATAAACAGAATTGGCACACAAAGCATAATATATGAGGTGTTTTGTAATGCTTATAGAATGAATACTGACAGAAGTCCCTGTCAGAAACTACCTGTCAGAAACTACCTGTATATGTTAACCAACAAAACTCTGAAACACCAACTTTGATTCATGGTGTTATGCTCAGTTTTTCCTTTCTTATCTTAGGTTATACTAGTATATGGTTGTGCATATATTTTTACAGGAGTATGATTACCAGGTGATTGAAGCTAAGAGTTCCCAATCTACTGCTTAGCAAGTTGAAGCAAATCATTGTGGCAGCTCTGATCATCACAAAAGTCTCCATGTCGGAATGCAACCAGGATTAGAATAACTGTGAATTCCATGACTGTGGGCAAATAGACTTTGTTATTCAACTTTGTTGAATCTATCAGTTGATCTGTGGATTGTTAAACGAACACCTGTATGAATATTTTGAATATAAAAGCTTAAAAGAAATGTTGTCTTTATGTTTTACTAGTAATTTATACATTCATTTTAATGGAGTGTCACCAAAAGCACAGCATCATGAGCTGGTTGAGGAGGGTGATTGTTGCGCTCTACTCTGAGCTGGTGCGGCCTCACCTGAATTACTGTGTGCAGTTTTGGGCACAACAACATAAAAAAGATATAAAGCTATTAGAGAGCGTCCAAATGAGGGCTGTGAAGATGGTGAAGGGCCTTGAGGGGAAGCTGTATGAGGAGCGGCTGAGGCCACTTGGTCTGTTCAGCTTGGAGAAGGGGAGACTGAGAGGAGACCTCATTGCAGTCTACAACTTCCTCATGAGGGGAAGAGGAGGGGCAGGCACTGATCTCTTCTCTTTGGGGACCAGTGACAGGACCCGAGGGAATGGCCTGAAATTGTGTCAGGGGTGGGTTGGGTTGGATATTAGAAAAAGGTCTTCACCCGGAGGGTGGCTGGGCACTGGAACAGGCTCCCCAGGGATGTAGTCACAGCACCAAGCCTGATGGAGTTCAAGAAGTGTTTGAACAAAGCTCTCAGGCACACAGTGTGATTTGTGGGGTGGTCCTGTGCAGGTCTAGGAGTTGGACTTCAATGATCCTTTTAGGTCACTTCCAACTTAGGATATTCTATGATTCTAGGAAAATTACTGTGTAGTTAAGGGTGAACTTTTAAGCTTCCTGTGCCAAGAGGAACATACCAAAGTATGAAGTGTAAAGTATGAAGCTTTTCATCACTTATTTGGTGGTTTTAGAATTACCAGTTTTCAAAGCCTTTACAGATATAACTATTAAAAAGTTGCAGAGCACTTAAGTCCAGGGTTCATATTTTATGGCCTCATTAGTATGGCTGATTCCATTATGTCAAATATTTATTTTCTCTGTGTTTTGCTTCATGCTTTGAACAAAACTAAAAGCTATTTGTGCTTACTTTTTGCAGGATTATCCCATAGAAGATGAGCTTCGCTTGTTGTTAGTATCTTTACCACAGACTGGTCTTGATCCATGTGTTCAGTACTTCACATCTCTTGCTTTACGTGAAAGTAGCCAGACTCTTGCTGCACAAAGGGTGGGTTCCCATCTACAAAGTAGAACTGTTTGGGTTTTTTGTTACTGCAGAGCTCAAAGATATAAACCTATTTCCACATTTTTGAGCATTGTAAGAGGAAGAGAAATACAGAGACTTTGTGACCGCAGAACATAAGCGAAATCTCTTCTAAATACAGACTGTCTGCTTGAAAGCTTGTTTGTGTTTCCCAGCTGTATTAGTCAAAAGATCTAGTGAAAGATTGTATCCTTCAAACCTTCCCATTAAGCAGATATTTCATCATTTTATCCAAAACATTCCTTCCCCTTGTAGTGCTGATAAAGTGATTTTTCACATTTTATCTTACTGTTGTTTGAATTTTCATTTACTGCAGAGATGATTAAACCTCTGTTAAGTCTTACTAGCTAACTAGTATGTTGTTAGCACACCTCAAATAGTAAACTCTGTTATATCACGTGGAAATTCCTCACTGGAACAGATCCCTGTTATCAAACCAGAAATGGAATAGTCTAGTGGTCTGTCTGAACTTGGAAACTAGGGTTCTTCAACAGTGCAACAGCTTCCTTAGTGGCTTTAGGAACATCATTTAAAGTGCCATTATTGCTTAAAAATAATAATTGTAATGCTACTTTCATCCACTCTTTCTTGTGAATTTTATTTTTTATTTAAAAGTTGTGACTTCTTTAATGATCATTATTTTTTTTAAGATGCAATAGCAAACGTGAATTCATTTTAATAGTGATGCTTGTCAGCCTTCATTTGGAGATTTCAAAGTGCAATAACTCTATAGTTCCTATAACAGAGTTATGTGTATTATTTTTATGCTATCACTCCTTCATTTTTTCACAGCCAGAGCTCTTGCTACAAAGTGAGCTTTGGTAAGACACTGCACTTATAGGCATTTTGATTTTTATTGAGGTTATGATGGTCTTTCTGCTGTGTGATTTGAGAGACTGGTTTTCAGAGGCTATGCCACATGTTGGAGACCTTTTTTCCTCCTATTTTCAGTTTTGCAACTATGGAAGTCTAAATTTAGTTTGAGTCTTGCTTTTATCGCTTAAGCAAATGATCTTAAAAGAAGACATTCATTAACAAAATGAAAATCCTACATTTTTCCCTTTATTTATGTTTTGAAGTTAATAGACTATGGAGACTACTGACTGAAAATCTAATTAATATTTCAGTTAAAAACAGTAAATATTTCTGTGGTGTACTGTTGTGTAGTTTGTACATTTTGAAAAGTGCGTGCATGCTGTGCACTCTTTAAAGCCATTTCTATAGATCATTACACACTTAATGATTCAGTTTAGACATCCTTGTTTTATGTAGCTGTTTGAAGTGTGTTATGATTTTTACTGTTTCTCATTTCAGGGAGGCTTATGGTGTTTTGGAGGAAACGGACTTCCATATTGTGAGACATTGAGTAAAATCCCTTCAGAAACAGTGGAACTCTTTTGCTTGCAGGCTTTAGTACAGCATTCTAAGGTAATTTGTCCTTTAAACTACATTTATAAACATTCCTTTCTAATGGTCTCTCATTTATTGGGAAGGAGTTGCCATTTCTTTGTCTCCTACCCCTCACTCCTTTTGTAAAGGTGTTCAGACAACCGAGACTGGTGTGAAACAAAGGCAGTGTAACAAGCTAATTTTTTTTCTCATGGGAAAGTGTATGTAAGTTCTGTTCTTGTTTCTAATTAGCCCTTACAAGTTCTCCTGTAGTATACCTGTGTTTATCTTTCAAGAAGTAAAAGGGCAGCTCTGAGACAGAAAAGCAGGAGAGAATGCCTGAGGTCCGGGTGGCTTAAACGATTTCATCCTATGTGGGGCTACTTCCCACTGACAGCCAAAGTCATTGGAGATGGATATCATGAGGCAACAGTGCTTCCACTCTGCAGCTTCTCAGTAATCGAGATACTGATGATGTGAAATTCTCAGTGCAAAGTATGTGGATTTGTATGAGTCAGTGTACATCAGTTCAGAAAGCTTACAAGCAGGTCTGTTCTTGTGGCTCTTAATCTGACTCTAGTGCCAGGTTTTCACAAAGTAAAATAGCCTCATGAATTCAAACCTTATCTACTCAAAAAGCTCCCTCCTTCAGGGGCCACTGCCTTTGGGCAGACTACTGCACAGCAAGCAGCTAATACAGTGGCCTCCCAGGACCAGTCTGTTCTTTGCAGACACGGATGAAGAGTATGGGAGACTTTTTGTAACAGTGACTCTTCTTGTTTCCTGTTGCTGCACTCCTCTGTGTGCACTTCATTGCTCAGAAGCTAAACCACTGAGAAACAGTGTTGAGAAAACCAAATTGTTATTGATAGTAGAGATGGATAAAGTGCAGTTTGCTGGTATTTCTTTCACATCTTCCATATACAGAGAAGTTCTGACTTAGTCTGGAATGTGTTATATTCCAGATTTTCAGTTTAAGCAACTTGTGACTGTACTCTTTCACGCAAGCTGTGACTCTTGAAAGCCACAGACTTGAGGATATCAGCAGTTTGGTAGCTACCATGCATTTTTAAGCACTGTAGACAATCTGTTCAAGTCATAACCATTTGGCCAATATTGGTAGTTGACACAACTAATTAGCGCATATTCATCTTCTTAGACTAAAATCTGTTGTTGCCCTTAGTATCGATAATGATAGTAGTACTACTTGGAAGTAGAAATACCTTTGGATTTCAGTGCATTTTAGATGGTGGACAGGGAGACACGTGGCTCTGGTTGAGATAATGCTCTAACAAATACAGAATATTGGCCTGTTTCAGACTCTTGAACTTAAGTTGAAATTTGATCATGCCAAGTGGAGAAAATCTCATCTCCCTAAGATGTGGAGGAGAGTAAAGTGATGGTACTCAGTGTTTTCCAGGTTGTCAATTCATAGGAATCAAGCATCTACCATATTAAAATATTTACTTCCTCTTTAACTATGGCATAATAAATTCTAGATTAATGATAATTTCCATGTAATAAGTGCTCTGCATTATATCGGCTCCTTGAAACTCCCTAATCTGTGAATTAACAGCATCTGAAGATGCAGAATATCTAATTATTATCACTGTATTTACTGTATAATGCTAGATTTCTTCTCACTGTGATAAAATTGAAGCTAAAGGAGGCCTTCAGCTACTACAGAGGATATACCAGCTACGTAAAGATTCAGCAAAGATACAGAGGAACATAATTCGCATTATTGGAAATATGGCTTTGGATGAACATCTTCATTCATCCATAGTACGTGCAGGTAAAAGGAAAGCAAATGCGAGTAGTCTGAATGTCAGATTTCTATTCTGAAAATTTCTGAGGATTTGGTGCTTATGTAAAATGAAGAGCACCATGGTAGTGGTGTGGGTTTTATATTTGCGGGGCTGGGGAGGTGTTGTTCAGGTTTTTTAACACAAAAAATGTAGACTGTTTAGATGGTTTTGATTAAGAACTCCTGTTTGCTGTCTAGCCAATGTATGTCAATGAGAGGTGTCCAAAGTCTGATGGATGGTGAAAATTTGGACTTTGTTGATGTTCACATTACTGGCAAAAATCTTTTTCGAGTTTCCTGCTCTTACAGATCATCTACCTTGTACATTTTTTTTTTTAATTTACTGTGTTTTAGTCTTGTACGGGAACAGACCAACTTGCAATCCTCACCTTTTGGAACAAAGTGAAACATGATGCCTTTCCCTCCCTTGTTTTCCTAGTAGTTAAACTACTAACTTCTGCTAAGCTTTTCTCTCATACCCCTTTTTTAATACCCTCTAAATATTACAATGAAAGTTCTGTACCAAATAAATAAATCTCAATGTTTTATTAGAAAATAAATAAATAGAAAATATCAATATGCTGTTGTATAGGTCCAAGATGGTGTCTGCCTTTTAAACACAGTGTGCGTTTTTAATCTCTCTGTTACACAAGGGAGAAGTAGCAAAGGCACAGGAAAAGACTGTGAGGATGATGAAAAATTTGAAATGGCTGTGATATAAAGAACAAATAACTAAACTGAGATGTTTAGTATGGAAAAAAGTGACTGAAAGAGAATACAATGAAGATTTGTAAAATTCTCTTCACTGGCATAGAGAAGGCAAGGAGGGAATGGTCATCTGCTGTTTGTTGTGATGCAAGATCAAAGGTTCTTGCACATTAAATTATAAGGAGACAGAACAAATAAATACATATTTTTCAATATATTGCATGACCAAACTAAAAATTGCCATAAAACATGGTGATAGTTGAAGATTTACAAAGCTCCAAAAAGTGATTAGATAAATTCATTAAAAGAAAAATCCATAAAGTTCTACACATGGAAACCAAGTTGATTGCAGAAAAGCAGAGGGTGTAGAGTAGATTCAGCACTGCATAATTGTCCTTTTACTGCTCTATTCTTCTATTGTTCTGCAACTTCCACACTGCTCACTTCTGAAGAAAGGCAACTGGGCTACAAAGACCTTTGTTCTGAATTGTAGCACCATTCCTAAATTCTTATGATTGCTGAAAGCGTATATGTAGAGGAAGAGATTGAAACAGGAGAGTCAGCAGTTCCCTGGGACAGAGCTCTCAGTACAAAAGGAATTTTAGACAGTGAACCAAACTCCAGAGATGAGCAGTTGGATACTGCTGGTCCAGAGTTGATAAAGCTTCTCTTTTATTGCTGGATGATGCATAAGATGAAAGAACCTCTAAGGCTCTTTTCCATGCAAAAACTGCTGGCACAGGAAGAGGAAGAAAAAGTGATGCATTGTGTAGTAGCTGTAATGGGGTATCTGGAAACAGAAGGATTCTGAACACTATTTTTGACTCTTTGTCTTGGCTCATTTAAGAGAAATGCAAAACCAAAGACTAGTTTTAGTCAAACTAGCTTGGCAGTCTCCATTGTATTTGGAGAACTGAAAGTAGACTTTAGGTAGTATTCTTCTGAAGGAGAACGTGCACAATGGTCAACATATATTCTGCTTAGAAATGTAATTTAAATACATAATTCTTTTTAAAAAATTTGTTTGTTTAAATCAAAACTCAAATGTCAGTTCATTCTCTTCCTTAGTCTACAGTGAACTATCCTGAATTAACAACTTACTGATTATACTAGTAGTAACATAATGTACAAGATTTTGAAACAATGCTCATGAGATATAGTGTTCTTTTTTAAACCAGCCTCCATTTGATAATTTCTCTTCAAGGTTTTCCTTTTGAACTTGACTGTAATGTAATTGTGATTTATAGGCCACTTTTGCTAGCAGCAACAAGATCTATCAGGATTTGAAAGAGACATATATATTTGCGTGTGCACATAAAAGATATTCCTTTGAATTTTTCAGTAGTCTATGAACATCCCCATCCATGTTTAAGAAAATTTTACACTTTAGGTAGAGTATTATAAAGTGTTTGTAAGTCATAGTAGCTATGACTTAAAATTTTATTGACAATTGTATCAAATCTAATTATCATATGTTTCTGTGGTATAAATAGTATAGTATTTTTAGAATAGCAGGGATATTTTAATTCCATAATGAGTTTTTCATACATTGGATTTTAAAATTAGAAATGGTCGTACTACTCTTACAGGGAGCATCAATTTTTTTCACCTACCATTGCTCCTGTAGGTTGTTTTTTATGCCTCTCTTGTGCTTTAAGATTCATTTTCACCATCTTCCTTGCATTTTACCTTTTTCTTCTGAGAAGACGTTCTCCTTCAGATCATAAGCTGAACAGTAGTAAAATACATTGCCTCCTTGCCTCTCTGAATTTTTGAATTTTGGAGATTCCACTTACCTATCTTTGGCTTTCCTCAGGTAAAGAGTGGATTGAAATAATTTATTTTGATGTTACCCTTCTTAAGTTTTAACATCTGTTTTCACAAATATAGTTTAAAGGGTGATGTTTCTGGATTCTTTCATTTGGATGATGTTTCTATTAGTTAACCTGCCGCTTTATTTTCTCAATGTAGGTTGGGTTTCTGTACTTGCTGAAGTAATGAAATCCCCACATATCATTCAGTCTTCTCATGCATCCAGAGCTTTGGCTAATCTAGACAGGGACATGGTGGAAGAAAAATACCCAGATGGCGTTTATGTCTTACATCCACAGTATCGTAGCAGGTAAAGCAGGAGGAGACATTGTAAATGCTGTACTTCGAGTTTCTTGTTATGCTGTTCAGTTACAAAACCTTGGAAGAGTTGAAATCAGAGTGCCGCTGTAGTGATATCACCTGCTCCTCCTGTTCTTTGGTGGATTGAAAGGACTGAATTTACATTCTCAAGTAGAAGAACAACAGAAGTGGTTGGAGTAGTCCATAACCATAACCAAGGGTATCACTGTAATCCATGGAAAAATCCAAACACAAAACATGAGATTAATTACTGCTTTGCATGAGTTGCAACCCTTTAACCTTTGCACTGTATGTCTTGAATACCATGCCTTGTAATTATTCTACTGGCATCAGCACATGTTGGCCTAAGATGCAGTAAATTTTAATCTTAGCTTCTTTAAATAGCAGTTGTGGATCTGGGACTGAAGCAGTCTCGGGTGTGTGCTGTCACTTAGTAGCAGCTATTCCCTGGGCTCATTGGTATTACTCAGATTGCAGTGAAGATCTAATTAGATGATAAAGCTGCATTAATAGTAGCTGGAGGGAAAGCTGGTTTTCATTATAGAAAATTATGATTTGTGAGGTGGGTACTTTCCATACCTCTTTTTATATCTCTTCTAGGTGAATCCCTGGTTTTTGTCTTGATCTGAGTGTACTCTTGGAAATACCATGATATACTGTCCACGAGATAAGAAATCACAAGTAGTGTTAAAAAAAGTGTTTTGGCATCCCTTAGGTTAGAAGTTCTAATTTGCTAAAAGAATATGTACCACATATCTCTTAAAAATTCCTTTTTCTTGATCAGTCAACCCATCAGAGCAGACATCCTTTTTGTTCACGGTCTTTTGGGAGCAGCATTTAAAACCTGGCGACAGCAAGACATTGACAGGCATTTGGATAAAAAGGTCTCAGAAGGTGAAGAGGACTATAGTCAGTGCTGGCCAAAGGTAAAAAGGCAGTAACATTTTTACACATGGTTGCTGTTTTCTCATTAATGAGAGCTGTCCAGAGCATCTAGAAGGACACTGTCTGGCAGATGTCTTTTTTGAATCACATTAGTTGTAATATGTTATACAAGTAGCACTTTCCAAGTTCCTGATAGATTTTTGTTAGTGAGTTGTTTGTTGTTCTTGCAAGGAAAAATCCCTGCTAAGTTTAATGCTCTCAACATCATTTACGTGCTAGTGAAATAGGCGGCCGTGGCTGCTTTCCTTATGCTCTTTTTTTTTTAATGGAATGTTATTGATGAGGAAAAGATATATAAAATTACATTTTAAATTAAGTACCCTTTCTTACATAGGTGTTGAAGTATGTGCAGATTGCTATTTAAGTATTGTTAGTGAATAACTGGTTACTGCTTCAAGTGACTCACACCGGTATAGCCACTGAAGTATCTCTGTAAAACTTGAGCTGATCAGTCCTGTTGGTAATCTTAGTCTTGTTTCACCCAGGAGAGGGAGCCAGGAACACACGAGTTAGAGATCAGTCTTCATCCTTTGCCTACTTTGTGGCTGGGGAACAACCTAGAGTTCCCCAGCATATAATAAGAATAATAATCCAGGTGTAAAATGTATTTGGGGATTAATTGATGAGCGAAAGTCTTGCTTGATATTGTCCCCATAGTAACATCTTTGCTTCCTTGCTGGTAAGTTGCTTGCAAGAGTTTAAGTACCCCAATTATAAGTTCTTTGATTTTGCTTTTCTTTTAATTTAGACATGGCTGGCTTCAGACTGTCCTTCCCTTAGAATCCTATCTGTAGAATATGACACCCATTTGAGTGACTGGAAAGCAAAATGTCCTGTTGAGGCTCACAGGTAACAAATATAGCATCTGCAGTTTGGAGGGGGGGCAGGAGGGAGACCTGTAAAGCTGATCCTTGGAATCACCTAGTGTGAAACAGTGAATTTATCTTGTGTTGCATTGGAAAATCAAATTTGGAAAAAATTAGGAATAGTCATGGTATGCTTAAGTTTTTTTAGCCTCATGAATAGCCACTTCTGGCAACTTCGTGAATTCTTACAGTCCATTCTACTCATGTTTAGGGGAGACTAAATTATGCTATTAGTTAATGTAAATCTTAAGGGGGATATTTCTTGAAGTGACCCTATAATGCTTCATAAGCACAGGAAAAAAATCACTGTACTATGGCTTTGAACTCCTGATAAAATGAAGCATATATTTTCATAGAATTGTTTAGGTTGGAAAAGACCCTTCAGACCATTGAGTCCAACCATTAACCCAGCATTGCCAAGTCCACCACTAAACCATGTCCCTAAGTCACATCTACATATCTTTTTAGTACCTCCAGGGATGGGGACTCAACCACTTCCTGGGCAACCTGTTTCAGTGCTTGACAACCCTTTTGATGAAGAAATTTTTCCTAATATCCAATCTAAACCTCTCCTGGTGCAACTTGAGATTGTTTCCTCTCATCCTGTCATTTGTTACCTGGGCCAAGAGACCAACCCCCAGCTGGCTGCACCCTCCTTTCAGGTAGTCATAGAGATAAGGTCACCCCCCTGGGTCTCCTTTTCTCCAGGTTAAACAACCCCAGCTGCTTCAGCTGCTCCTCATAGGACTTGTTCTCCAGACCCTTCACTGGCTCTGTTGCCCTTCTCTGAACGTGTTCCAGTGCCTCAAAATCTTTCTTGTAATGAGGAGCCCAAAACTGAAGACAGGATTCAAGGCATTGCCTCACCAGTCACTTCTCTCCTCCTGCTGGCCACACTATTTCTGATACAAAGATACTTTGCTCAAAAAGTGTTACTTTGACCCATAAAATACAGCAACTGTATCTGATTTGGTCAGGTAGTGTAATTGTCAGAGGAGTTGCATTTTTGCTGTTGGTGAACTGGGTAGGTCAGAGGAAGATGCAATCATCATGCATTTTCTTCCTGAAAAATAAAAATACTTTGAGCCTGTAAGGGTTCTTTGGCTTGAATGAATTTTAGGCTTAGTAATCATGATCTTTAAATCAGAACCTAAGTCCTTTAAACACTTATGCAGATACTTTAGCACGTAACTAGTACTGTAGATTCAACTTGTGTACTTCAGTGGAGGTGTGTGCATGACTGCTCACAGGTTAGGAATCTGAAAGTGGATTATGTTTTGTGCAGGGAAGAAAAAATTTTTTCAGCATGTGTGTAATAGACTGGGAACTTGCTACTTGTTCATTCCCTCCTCCTTCTGGCTATATGATAGCTCAATGCAATTATTGCATTAAAGAAGACATGTAAGCAGGGAAAAAATAAGGAAGGCATGACTGTTGATATGCTTATTTGAAATGAGGCAGAAAAATGACAGTAAGAAGCATGTGGGTGGTTACAGGTCCAAAGAAGACTGGAAATGGCTTTAAGTTGCACCAATGAAGGTTTAGATTGGATAATAGGAAAAAATTCTTCACTGAAAGGGTTGTCAAACCCTAGAAGAGACTGCCCAGGGAAGTGGTTGTCTCCCCATCTCTGGAGGTGATATGAAGATGTGCAGATATGTCCCTTAAGGACATGGTTTTGTGGTAGACTTGGCAGTGCTGGGTTAGTGGTTGGACTCTATGATCTTAAGGGTCTTTTTCAACCTAAATGATTCTGTGATTCTAAGAAAACTCTATTCCGTGTCTGTCTGAAGTATGCTTAAAGAAATAAACATGTATTTCTTTCACTAAGATTAATGTCTTTTTCATTACAAAATGGAAAATTACATTACCTGCTATTTATGGTCACCCAAGCATAGTATTTGATTATTTTTTAGTTTTATATGTTTAATAATAAATGAAAAATATTGAAGATATTTTTAACTAGCAGGAACAAAGATGTGGCAATATAATCATAAACTTGGTTTGTTTTTAAGTGTATAGTCTCATTCGCTGTTTCAAAAGTGAATTTTTATGCCTCTCTGCTAGCCTAAAACCTATTGTTCAGTTGAAAAGACACATTTGAGTATCCTTTTCATATGTGTTATAAAGCAATTTCTAGTGAGAATGCTGAGACCAATAGAGATGAAGTGAATTATTTTGCACAGTGGTTGCCCCGATATCCTGATGCTTTCATTATCCAAGGACTTTCTGTGTTTGATTCTTGTTACACTGCAAGGCATAATGATGTTGCACTTTCAAGCTTGGATTGAGAATTGGGGTTGGTTTTGTTTTGGTTGTACCACAGATTCATTTTCAGCCTCTAAAATGTAGCTTATCCTTTCCAGAGTTGAGTCTTTTCATTTACAAAGTGGAGATTATTATGCTTTCATACTATTCCACTACAAAGCATTTGGAGATTCTTGTCTGGAAAGTGTAACAGAGATTAGCTGTGATTTTTTTAAATGTGTTGGTTGATCATGCACTTAGTTATTAAGTTTCTGTACCCTGCTCCACATTTGGAGCAATATTTAGCAAAATACATTTTTGTCAGACACTAGGTATGTTCTTGTTGCAAGGAATAAAGTTCATGATGCGTCGATGTTGCTTTCATAAAATGAAAACATCGTTTTGTTACGGTGTGTAAATGAAATTATTTAAAACTCCATAAAACAGTTTGTCAAGCTAAGGGAAATGATTGGTAAGTGAAATTAAAATAAAACTTTCTTGCAAGAGCAAGAAACTGAATTTAGCTCAATTTCTGTTGTCCTTGTGAAGCCAATCTTAAAAAGTTTTTGGCATTTTTCACTGTAGCAACAATAATTAAATAATTATAGTTTCTGTAGCAAATTCACTTTCATAAACACACAGCACTGAAAATTCTTTGTGTTTTAACATTGCCTTTTAACCTATCATGCTTCATTATGCCTGTGTTCATTTTTTCTTTGCAGGAAATCTATTGCTTACAGGAGCAGTGAGCTGCTTGACAAGCTCAAAGCTGCTGGGATTGGAGACAGACCTCTGGTGTGGGTATCTCATAGCATGGGTGGTAAGCATGTTGCCTGTTTGATATAAAGTATTACTTTGACTTTTTATTTCAGAATAAGATGTTAAATTCAGATTGAAATACAATTATTCAAATAGTTTATTTAAAAATTTTGCAAAGACCTAAAAATGAAAAACAGATTTCAATTTTCTTAATGTGTTATACTCAATAGCATATACATTTTGAAACGATTTTTATTGCTGTTTGTTTTTACATGTTGATTTAAAAACTCAGTGAGTTGAAATTCATGTAAATGGAAATCCAGAGGCAAAATTTTCTCCATGATCAGGCATATAGTAAATGTCATTAGCAACCCTTAAAACAAACCAAAATTGGATTTGCATCATTCATTGACATTTTATATTAATGCCTTCTCAGGTTCAGTTAGGTTTTTCTTCAGCTTAATCTTATATATTTGACAATCGAAGGACTAATCAATGAGGCAAGAATATGGTTAATTGTTTCATGGATAATATAGCATGTTCATTATTTTCACAGTGGTTTAAATCCCTGCATTAATTCAGTTTCTGTTGCCAGGTCTTCTAGTCAAAAAGATGCTGGTGGATGCTTCCAAGAATCCAGAAATGGATAAAATTGTAAACAACACCAGAGGAATCATATTTTATAGTGTACCTCACCATGGTTCCCAGCTGGCTGAATATTCTATAAATGCCAGATATCTTCTCTTTCCGTCTGTGGAGGTTAAAGAACTCAGCAAGGGTACGTTCACTTTGCTACCATCTAACAACAGGGAACTCTGCTAATGTGTTCACGAAGCTTTGTTTTTTCCATCCTGTTGTCAGAAAAAGCTGGGTAAAAACAACAAAAACCGCCTTTCTATGTTTTGGGTTGTGTGTTGAATTATTGCAAGTGATTCTGAGTAGCTGTTTCTTTGATTGCAGAGGTGAGGAGAAAAGGGGGAGTCAGAACAAGTTTAAAGAGTAGTTTGGGCCATTCAGCGAAGTAATAACTAACATGTACCAGACCTTGGACTCTTATCTTCCAAACTAATTCTATGCTATGCAGAACTAAACAATTGTTGCATATGGTAACTGGAAAAAAGGGATTACAGACTAAATGCTACTCCTTTTACTGTCATATTAATTTTTCAAAACCAACTCTTTAGCAATGCAGTCTTGCCAGACAAATGCTATAACCTTATGTTCCAGATAACACTGCAAAAATTATGTTGCTCTTTCTTAGATTCTCCTGCACTTAAAGAGCTGAATGATGACTTCTTGTCTTTTGCCAAAGACAAGAAATTTTCAGTGCTGAGTTTTGCAGAAACCTTACCCACGCACATAGGCAGCATGTTAAAACTACATGTCGTACCTTTGGAATCAGCAGGTAAGTCAAATAGCCATTTATTTAATTTTGTATATATTCATGTAAACATCGATAATGAGAAAGGGTTATAAATGTTGTGGTAAAAAGACCTAGAAAAATGCATCTGTTATATGGTGGGGTTTTTTGTTTAAACTTTTGTCTGAGTTTAAACTGCAGTTTCCCTGCTGAGATCTGAAGCAGCTACATTTAGATCTTAGAATAGAAGTTGTTTGTTTTGGTTTTTCTAAATGCAAGTAACATTTGCTTGTTGAAAAAAGCAGCTTAAAACCTGGTCTAATGTTACACTGTTGGAGTCCTTTCCTTTGGAACTATGACTAATTGTGGTTTATATTTGTATAGGTAGGCTGAATAGTGTTTCAGATGCTTCCACAAATTCTAGCTATTTCCTCCTTTAAGAAAATAAGACAGAAAATTAGTAAACTGCTAATGGAGAAAAAAAATTCACAAAACTGGATTTCAGTGTTAAGAATCTTTTAGCACATCTCATATACTCAAGCAGTAGAGTTTTCTTCCTGAAGAGTTTCCTCCATCTTTTTGCCTTTCGTAGGAGGAAGGAAGACCAGACAGTTTTTTCCCTTGCTTTTTTTATGGGCGCTCAACTTAGAGAATTGGTTTAAGTCTTACATTTTTGGGTTTTCATGAAGCAAAACCTTCTTTTGCAGTGCCCAAGGTATCTGTAAGGCCCTGAACAGAAACCATTGCTTTGTTGGGTTTCATATCAGGCTTTCCACCAGCTAAATCTACTAGCTTCAGTCCAAGGTCAGTTGCTCTGAAGAAGGTGAACTGTTTTTCTGAGTCAATATTTAACAGTATTTTCACAGTATGTCTTCTTGAGCAGCAATCGTTTGCAAAAATGTTGCTGATGCAATTTGAGTGGCAAGGACTGAAAAACAGGATTTTGGTTGAGTTTTTTTAGATTTAGCAAAATGAAATTAAAGAGAGGGCTGAATGACAGAGCCCAAATTAATACTGTGTGTGCACTTATAATTTTGTAGCATCTCTCCTCTTCTAGAGATGACACACAATGCAGCATGTGAGCGCTCTTGCAAACCTTTAGAGGGTACATGACAGTTCAGCGGCACGGCACTTGTTCTGTTCAAAACGCAGGCTGACAAGCAGTACACTCCATGTTTCTTGCATGTGTGCTTGAGCACACAAAAGCAAAGCTTCATTCTGCTCTAGTGTAATTTTACATGGTTAAAGATACAGAGTTCAAAGCAAAGTGGAGGATTTTCGAGGTTGCTGAGCGAATAGATAATAAACCGAATTGTGGCAGTCATGGCATGTTAACTGGAAAGTTAGTAGTGATAGCTGTCAGGAAAGAATAAATGCCACAGTGTTAATATTTCTTTTGCCCAGAAATGTGTGTGATGATTGTGGCATATTTCAGGTTCATTCTAGTCCAATTTTTAATCTCCACATGAAAGCATTTTTGTCAGGAATATGGGCAATTAGTGGTGATCAGATTCAAGATACCGTGGATTAAACCCTATCCCTGATCATGTCAATGCTTAAACCTCAGTCACAATTGTGCTGTCCGTCAGGTGCTGGTAAATGAAGTTTTGTGTCATCAAAGTTGTCTACATGAAAAAAATGTCATCATCATGGCTAGGCTTCGCAAACGAAGATTTGGGAAGGGCTCTACCCACGTTTGTTGAAAAAAATGTACATTTGTGTATATCAAACAAAGATAGTAGAACACTGGCCTAATGGTTTACCAGTGTGGATTTTGTGCCCAATGTATAGCTCTGTCTGACCACAGCAGTGTGCATTGATGTTTCTAGCACATTAAAAAATAATGAGGACCAAACAGTTACACTGAAGACAGGAGAAGTTGCTTTTGAGAGAGAAATTGCTAATACAAGATGTGCTTTTCAGTCTAGGTCATCTTACGAACTTTACTAGTTTTTTCTTCTTTTTTTTTTTTCACTCTCCCAGACTTAGGAATTGGAGACCTTATTCCGGTGGATGTTAATCATCTAAATATTTGTAAGCCAAAGAAGAAGGATGCTTTCCTGTACCAACGTACACTGAAGTTCATTCAGGATGTTTTAGCCCAAGAACTTAGAGATTGAATATTTGCTATCCTTGGCTATTTGTGCCCTCTGTTTGGTGTGACACAGAAAGTTCTTATTTGTTAGGGGATCTGCAGAACTACACGAGTGCTATGTCAGTAGTATCTGCGGCTGAATAATTTTCAGTACATCTCCAACTTAGACACCTCTGCAATTTATTTCTAAAATACATTCAAAACAAATATACACCTAGCAGAAAGAAAATGTGTGCCCAAGATATCTTCTTTTAGCAAAAAAACACAAGCTTGCTTTGGAGACAGGTAAATATACATCTGGGACAAAGTCTTATAGAGAGGATCAGAAACAATTAACTGAGGTGATTATTTATTGTGACAAAAAGGCAAAGAAGCTGCCGCAAAGTGTTGGTTTACTGTCTATGCTAAGTAGTCTGACTGGAGCCTGGAGAAACAATATCCAAATAAATGAAGGTAGCATTTTCGTCTAGTGGCCCAGTTAGAGGAGATTTTGTCATTTGCCTTTTCATTTATTAGAGCACCCAGATTTGTCAACAAATATGGCATCTATTTTCTGCATGAGAAAGAGATGGGTTGGTAGGTTGTCTTGCTTAGACAACTGTCATGGTTTTTACCTTGTCTGTTTTACTGAAAACAAAAGAAAAGAAATATTCATTTTCTTGTACATTTCTCTCCTAATCTTAGCAATGTGTGAGATTCTTTCTTTAGGACAGCATGTCTCTGGTCAGACACAGGGCAGTTCTGTGCCTGTTCACAAGGAAGATACAGAACAGAGGCTTAGCTCTTCTGCTTTACTCTTAGGATGTTCTGAGAAGATGGTATACGTTCAAATCCCTGGCTCCTGTTTCTCTTACAGAACCTCTTCTTTAGCTGATTTAAAGAAGAGTATTGAAAATGCTCAGGTGGATTAAGAAAAATGTGGGCCCTGACAAAAAAGCTCATGTTTTAGTAGAGAAAAGTAAAGCAGGGAAAAATTTGGATGATCATAAGGCACCCCTGGAAATGCAGATCACCGCAGATGTTTTGGTTTCTTGGGGCCCAAGTATATTTATTGGTGTAGATACAGAAAAAACCAGCAGTGTTGTCTTATTTGAGTTTGTTTACGTTTAGGGTACCTTAACAGTACTGATGAGAAATCAGTATTTTTAGACAAAAAAATGGCAGTGCACAGTCACTTTTTTGAAGTCTTAGGTAGTTTGCACTGTAGTTAAAAGCAGCCTGGTCTAATTGTGGTCTCTTTCCTTCCTTTCTTTACACCCCCAACCCTCTCTGAAAACAAGCATAGGCTATGATAAGGCTGTATTACCTTTGCTGACCATTTGTTAAGTAAGGCCTGTACTGATGACAGGCCTGGGGTGTCTCCTAACGTCACTTATGTGAGATGGATCTAATGTTACTGGCCTTAAAATTATGAAAGCTACCAGAGAGGTGGGATGCACCTCGTGGTTCTGTGTGGGCTTGGTTCTGATGCCAGTGGGCACTGCAGTCCTGCCAGTCCTGAGGCCACCTCAGCTGTTCCCACTTCAGAGCACTCCAGCCTAGGAAGACACTACATCTTAAAATACACTTCTAGAAGTTGAGCCTTGACATGAGGGGGTCTGGTACTAAAATTCACAAGAGCAGTACAGAGAATGTGCAGCACTACACTGGCAACCCCCCCAACCAAGATGTAGGTAAGAATGCTGCATTGCAGTGTTTCATATAGAAAATGTAACAGACCTGTTGTAATTTCTAAACAGCTTTATCCTTTTTACACTGTGGTTTGACTTCAGTCTAAATATAGTAGTACACTTTGTATTCACAAAGAAGAGAGTATGTGGAATTCATTGTGAATAGACAAGACTTCTAATAATTGACTGCTTGTTTAGTTTGACAAATCTATTGATTTTAGTAGACTTCTTTGGCTTACAGGGATTCAGATCAATGACATTAAACATTAATCTTAGTAAATGCATCTATGTTTTGTTACTGGAACTGGAATTCCTAAGGCAATGTTTTGCTTTTTGTAACTATTTATATATGTGTAACTTTTAAAACTAATATTTGGCAGGTGGGTTGTTGGATTTGCGTTTTTTGTTGGGGTTTTTTTGGAATATAGTAATAACATGTGATTTAAAAAATGTCTTAGATACATTACAACATGTATTAAAGGTTAATGATCTGCCAAATGAATGCTCTGGATCATGTTCACTTTTGTTAAAGTTCTGCATTATGGTTTAGTGGTTGTGTCATGCTGGAACAATGTAATGTTCATCTTTGGTGAGAGGCACAGTACTGAGGGGCAGCTGGTCAGTGATATTTTGCCAAACTGAACAGTTTTTCAGTTTCGCTTTTGTATTTGCAGCAGTGTCTCCTGAAGCATTTACAGACATTGGTTCAAGGGCCAGCAGGTCTGTTGCATAGCATTTGTGTTTGCTTCTCATTAGGAACTTTATGTTTTTTGCTTCCTGGTGTCACATTAATTGAGAGCAGTGCCTTTATGTTAACTCTTAGATCTCAAACTATGCCCTTAATCCCATCTAGCCTGGGCCCCAGCTGCAGGTGTGGTTAGCAGGTGCATGTGAGTTGTCTGAGAAGATGGTGTTTCATCTGCATTGTGGCATCCAGGAGTAAAACAGTAAGACAGGAAGGGAGGGCTAATAGGGTTTGGTCAGTCCTCTTGCACTTGCTGTCCAGTACTCTTGTATGACTGTACTGGTATTTCTAGTAGCAACAGTCATCGAGTTTTTAATGGCTGTGATTACAGTACTGTGAACTGGCTTTCACTGTGATTTGTGCTTCATGTTGCCAGGTGGAGCAGCTGGCAAGAAATGAGAAATTTTCCATCTGGTGAAAAAGGCAATTCCAGACAAAAAGGAGAAAAGCAAAAATCTTGTTTGGTCATGGTGAAAATTCCCAGTAATATTTTAATTTTGGTTCTCTTCCTTTTTGTTTGTTTCAGTGATCACTCACCTGAAAAAACTAAATCAGTCAGTTGCTATACCAAGGAGAACCACTTCCCCACCCCAAAAGTAAATGCAGCAGAGCAAGCAGGATGCTTGCTGCAGCTTGAAGTTGCAGTGTAGTGTTAGTGTTAGTCTACTCTTCCCAAAATCTCTCATTAAATAAGCATACAGACACTTGTATACTTGCACCTGGTAAATTATTCACACCTGGCTTCGCTGTCAACAGTTTTTAGATTCCCAAGTGCTGGGTTCATGACATGAAAAATGTCATGCAATAGCAATTCCCTCCCACCCATTATATGGCCCTGAAGACTGACAGCTGTCACTGACAACCAGAGTTTACATTGATAATGTCTGAATGAGGATGAGCAGCAGATCTGAGGACAGCTGTGGACATCAGATAACCATGGTTCAGGTTACTTGGACTCTTTTCTCATGGTGGTGGGGCCTGGCTTAATTCTGAATGAGAAGGAATGAATCGCTGCTTCCTGCAGTCTAGTTTTCTGTGGGGGTTTCCCAAACACAGAGCAAGTCTGGCCCTTCTTTGCTTCCCCTGACCATTGAAACTAGAATCCAGGTCACAAGTACCTGCCTCTGAGAAAACACTTGGCTGGGATGTTGGGCAGCAGTGTGGAAGATAATTTATTGAGACAGGAGATTCCTCATTCTGCACTGTAACCTTTTCAGCTGGACTGTCTGTCCCTTTCCCTTGATTTGCTGCAATTGAACAGTATATGCTGTCACTGACAGCATAAACCAGGCTAGTTGCCGGGATTCATACTTTAATGGGCAGCTTGCCACATACATAGACATAAGATATAATGCTAAAGGCCACATCCGTCTCTTATTCAAGGAGGGTAATAAAGCAGATTTTATTTGACTTGTATAAATCCAGTTTAATTGGCTTTCCTGCTAACACTTTCATTAACATGTAAATTAGCTGTCCTAGAGCTGTTAATTATCTTTGCAGAAAATGTTGGATATGGTCATATAACATACTCTTTCTTTTTTACTGCTCGTAATGTTTTATACTGAGATGTGCCCATAAATATTCACTGTATTTTTTTTTTTAAAGGAGGACAAAGAGGCAAAGGCTCTGTGTCATCTTGTAGGGAAACGATTATCTTACTTAAGCATTATTCACCAGCCTGCTGCCACGTTAAACTGACACTCACATAAGAAGCTTAGCACTGGGTTTTATGGGCTTGGCCTTTGAAGGTTTGGGGGATTTTTTTTTTAAGTGTCTGGCAAACGAGAGAGCAAGGAGGATGACAGGTACTCAGACAAAGGCAGCATCCTCTCTTGCAGGATGCCTTGTGTTCAAAATTTGGCAGTGGCAGTGAAACAGGTAGGCATTACAAGGAAGAAAATGGCTTAATTCCCAGTGTCCAGGAAGCTGAGAACAAGCCAATTAATTTTCCTATGGGAAACCCCCCCCCTTTTTAAACACATCTTTTCTGAAAAAAAATTTCAGAATGAGGGGTTTTTTCGGCTTCACCAACTGCTTAAAAATATTCTCCTTCCTTTAATAATAAAAGATCTTGATGCTTCTCTTAACAAGTTACCATGACAAGTTGCAATCTGTTTATTGTTTTTAGCTGCCTGCTTTGCACAAATGGCATCTATCTTGTGCAGTTTTACCCCAAAGGCAAGGCAAAAGCCTGTGCAGCTAGAGCGGGACACATTTAAGTTCCAAGACCAGCTCTTTCCTCATCTGCACTGTTGAAATAAAATACTGACATGGCATTTGCTTATGAAGACACAGAATGGGAACAGGGACACAACTACTGAATTGCTTAACTGCCTTTAGCATAAGACATCAATAAGTCAGTGACTGTGTCATTGGCTGCTCTCAACTGTTCACCATATTTCTTCAGGATTTGCATAGATAATATACCAGCAGACTGTACCATTTCTTCCAAAAGGGACTGTCATTGTCCAAGTGCTATTTCCCTGCAAAGTGTGTTGTTGGACATGGGCTTATGAACAAAAACCAGGTGAGTTTTGGAACTGTGGTAGAAGACCCACTAGGGCTGATTTTGAGCTCACTGTAGGTCAGAGCAATGTTTTGAGAGGCAGCCCAAGCCTTCTGGTGTAGCTGAGGCACATTACTACAGTGTCATGAACAGCACAGCACTTATGTCTGCTGTAATACAGGGGGCCACTTGCCTGATTTGGCATAAAACCAGGCATTTCCTCCTGGCCCCAGGCACCACCTCTCCTGGTTCTGCTTTATATCCCGGAAGTGGTACACACCACTCATTTTATTTCCAGAGAGGAATGTGTTTAACAAGGTAAGTGCTGCCAACACAGCCACTGGTGAAGATCTACAAGCAGATATGTCTGAGCCTTGTTTCCACAGCAGAAGTAGCAGAGCAATACCAGTGTTACTGCTGTCTTTATACTTGTGTACATTCCCCTTCTGGATGTTCATTCCAGAATAACTGTGGCAGTCTAACTATTCGAGGTAAGGATGCTTTATTTCAAACAATTGATTAAAATATAAATTCCACAGGAAAATGTTTTTCTTAATGTCTTTTTTCCATACATCATTACATGTTCTTACATATGATTCGTACCCAAAATGAAATAAAACATCTTAAGATGGATTAATAAAAAGAAATAACTTAGAATAAAGAATTTTTCAAACAAGCTGTGGATAATGTTAGGCTGTATGTACTCTATATACTTCCCTCCAGGGGCAGTATCTTTATCTTTAAACATGAAAATGAAATGTAGCATGGACAGATAATCTATTTCATTAAATAAAAAAGATTAATTTTTTATTTTGCATCATAATTATGATTTCTGTAGGAACATTAAGGAGGCAAAATTTTACAACTCTAAATCAGTATTTGTCTTCATCAAGGTATTTTTGTTTTGTTCTAAGACAAGCAGTTTGTTGAACCCTTCTGACAATGCACTGCTGTCTTCATCATCACTAAATGTAACCCAGTGACTGAAATCTTTCAGGTTGGGGTGTTTTAAATTCTCTGAAGTGTGTGCTGAAGAAGTAGCTGATGTTGCCTGTATGGAAAGAGGGCAGGAAGAAGGCACGTCCAGGCCCAAAAGACTGGTGTTCTCTGGAAGGGAGCTGGTATCCAAGCGTTGTGGATACTGGCCTGCTGTTATAGGAAGGCCCTGGAGATTAGCATTCAGTTCTGCAGCAGTTGGTGTCAACAGTTTTGTTGTGCTGTTTTCTGGGCTGGTGGAGGCTGTAGGAGCTGAGCGAGCAAGGACATCAGTCTGGGGGCAGGACCCAGGGCGGTTGTTGTTGAACATTGACCCACTAAAAAGTGGGCTGTCACTGCTCTGGAGAACTTGCAGATGAAAAGCTGCAGGAGCAGACTTCTTCCTTCGTGGTGGCACCTTTGGGGCAAAGGGAACACTCTGGGGAGGCAGTACAATGGCCTCAGCCATGCTTGCTGAGGGGGGCTGCCTTTCAGTGCTTCCCCGGCTCTCCTGAGGCTTTCCAGCTTGTGGTGTTCTGGGTTTAGGGACTGGAGTGATCTTGGTTGGACAAAGAATAGCTCTGTCTTCTAGATGGGGCTCTAGGACACCAAAAGGAGACTGTACTGTCTGTTGGTCAAACTGCTCTTCTGTAGACATGGCCTGAGGGGGAAAAGGAAGAAGAAATGTGAGAAAAAATGGGTACCTTAAAGTTTGAGTCACTACTGTTGCAAGTCTTATTGATGGCGTTACGAAGAGCAACTGGCTGTCCTGGAAGAAAAAAAAAACAGTACAAAGAGGAAGCTTGACAGCACAGTTCTACACTGTACCTGCTGGGCTCTGTGCTCATGCATCGTGCCTTGCACCCATGTTCATTTAGAGAGAGCTATTTGAGGACAGCCTGTTCACTCCCTGTGTGAGAAATACATCTCTTTCTGACCATCTCCCTTTCACATTAGGATTTTGCTCTGGGCCAAATTAACACAGTTCTGTGAAGAGTTATTTGTGACATCTCTCCACTGACTAATGTTATTTAAGCAAGAATGCATAGGGAGGCCTAAATTAATGGGCACGTGCCTTTGGGTATATCCTGATAGATAAGACTGAAGGACAATTAGCTAATGTTAACCCAGTAAATGCATTAATGGCTCTGCCCTGTCTCACTGATGCTAGAAACTGAAGATTAAAGTAAGCTCTCAAAGTACATTCTAGCATATATCCACCATTTAAAAATATATAAATAATGAGCCCAACTCAATCTAAGAGGGCAAGGGCTCC